CAGCAGGAAGCATTCAGCTTTGCCCTTCCTCTCCATGTCACCCCTTTGAAAACCAGGAACGAGCTAATTTACCTATCCCAACCTCAGGCACTGCCATAAAGTCCCTCTTCAGCACACGTACACACGGGCGCGTGCGTGCACACCCCCCCTTACCTTATTTAGCCATTTCAGCCCCGGTATCCTGTTAGAGTTGATTTGCTCTTCCAGCCAGGGGCGCATCCGCATCCTTTCGACAGGCATTGTCACCCACCTGGGAAGGAGCTGTAGGGAATAAGGATGAGGTTACTGGTTTTCCAGGCAGAGCTTCCAGGCAGCACCCCCATCTCCGCAGAGAAGGGACTTTAATAAAGCTTTGCAGGCAGCGAACAATTGTAAATATAATAGCGACTTCAGATCTGTGCGGGAGCCTTCCCTAAGAGCAACTGAGATGATAAAGCCTTCTCCACAGCAGAAAACACTCTTCTAGTACACCTGGATTAGAAAAAAAACTTCTCCTGAAGAAGATACACCATGCTGGCAAAAGCCTGTCTGCTGATACAGGTGGGATACCAGAGGTCACAAAGAAAAAAATTACGCTCCTGAACAGACCTCTTTTTGGCCCACACACCTCCATTTGCACAAGACCTTTTATTGCCAAGATAAGAAAGGTAACCAAAAAAATTCACATGCAGGAGACATCACTGTATTAGCTAAAATGATGCACACAACAGAAGTGCTTTCAAATGGCTGATTCTGCCCCATAAACTTGACTAGAATTATGAAAAATACATTTTACATCACAGCAATTTACTAGACCATTTTGATTCTGTCAGAGTAGTTTGACTCCCTCCCTCCAGCCTTCTCTGATCAACACAGTCAATGATTTTTCAGCCGCTATTTTACATTTTGATACTGCTTATCTGGGAAGTGAGTGTTTTACAGCCCCCTCAGCTGCACCACACCACATTTCATTACTCAGTTAAGACTTAAACTGACTTCTTTTTTTCTTCTCTCTCACACACGTGATTCTGATGCCACTTCCCTGTTTAGAGCTGTGAATTATTGACATTAAGAGTCCAAAGTCTTGAACTCGAGGCAGAAAATTTCAAAAACATTAACCTATCTCAGGTACCACTTTGAAAGTGCCAAGATCCAAATTAAACCACAGCATTAAACTCCTGTTAGGGAGCCTGCAACCCCTTATTTCCACTTTCAAGTACTTGCATTTAGGCTGCTGCTTCTCCTTTCCCCCTCTGCACTGGGCTCAGCTCCTTCCTCTCTTCTTTGTTCTTCACATCTGTGTTCTCTGCATCATTCTTAACTCCTCTGCTCTGCTATTCTTGTCACCTTTGATCTTAAAAAAAAAGGCAAAAAGAGGAAAAAAATTAGTAGGCCACGTATTCAAAAGCACACAGCTATGACACAAATGTAAATGGGTTTGTTCTTGCTTCCTATGGGAGAGCAGGCATCAGACAGACTAACAATTAGGCAATACCAAGCCCACACCCAGCACAAGAGGAAGAAAAACGTTCAAAGTTTCCTCTCATTGCTCTGAGGACATGCATTTCCTGAAACTAATAGGGAATTAAAACCTGAGTGCAACAATAAGGCTCTTTGATGTGTTCAGAGAATTTACCAGCAGCCGTGCTCACGCTAATCTCTTAGCAAACAGACTGGCATTTCATCTGCTACTGTGTGGAGCTGGTCACTCACAGCTTCAGCCGCAGCCTTCCCCACTAATTTCTAAAATAGCTCACAAAGTGGTTGAAACTGCTCAGCTCCCTTTCAGGTTCACATCATGCACAAAGAAACAGCCAACCCCAGAACTCGACAGCAGCCAGGCCCTTGTGCAAATCCCTTCCCTGTGCAAGAGGGAAGCTGTTTTCTGAGTGACGGCGACGCGGGTGCAGCTTTTTCAGCCCCGGGTTGGTGGCGAGCAGCTGGCCACTCCACTGCAGCCCTCTCCACTTAGCACCAACGATCCTCACCCACGTTGCAGTGTGTACAGATCTTCCCCCACTGCACATAGTGTCAAAGCCGAAAAATGCAAATGGCAATGCACTAAAAACGTGAGCGAATTTTTATTCGTCTGTCAAGGAAGAAACAAATAGATGCAAGGATCATCTTGGATGCATTAAGATATCCTTAAGTACACGTGCACTTTGAAACAGTTTCCTGAAGACACAGTGTATCATCTTCAGCATTCAACAAACGAGTGCTCCTGTTTAGCAGCAGGACTCATCTTCTGGGTAATGAGCCCCTAAGACAAATTTCAAGCCTATCTGAACGAACAAATTAGACAGAAGGAAAAAAAGTCATGCTGAAGGCAGCAGCAATGAATCCCACTTGGGACAGGCCACATAGAAGAAACAGAAGCTGACTTTTTGCAAAAGCAACGCATTTCAGGATATGAGAAAGCTGCCAAAATTGTTACTGCAATGAAGCCAATCTAGCTCAAAGCGGCACGATAGAGCCAGTGATCTCTTCCCTCCCACATTCCCGGGGGTTCGCCAGCTGCTCCCCCGCAGATGCTGTGGTGCTTGTCTCCTTTTCAGCACCCTGGGACTCCTCTGGGATTAGCACCTGCAGCTCTCAGCACACACCTTCATATCCATCATCCACCCCAAGGCAAATTAATCCAAGGTAATCAGGAAAGACATTTGGCTTACAAGAAGGGAGGAGTGGTTCCCAAGATCTGTTTATTTGAAAGTAAAACCAAAGCCAGCTAAGAATAACCTGCAATGATGTCCAGCTGGAGGGAACAGCGGGCGTCTTCTGGGGGAACATCTTTTACAGAGGGGCAAGCACAGCACGCTTCTGATCATCAAAACTCACCCCATGCCCCTCCAAGAGCACATGCTGCTGAAAATAAAGCTTCATGTCTTCAGAAGCCACCCCAAGCCTGTCTGCCTCAGGACTGACCACAACAGAGCTAAAATGCAGTGGGTTTTTTGGCAGTTGCATGTCAACAATACCCTTGTGATGAACACAGCAAGTCAACTCTACTGAGTAATTGCCTCTGGGGAATGAAGGTGCCACATCTCCCCTCCAGAGCTGTCAGATACATGATTTCTTTGAACAGAAAGAAACAACTTCTGCCGGGCCTGTAACCTCAGTCTGTCCCTAAGCAGGATTAATGGGTGCAGCACTTGGGAGTCTTATTTCTATGGCTCCAGGCGGGAGAACCTGAAGTTTATCCATCAGCAAGTATCAGGACAATCACCTTCTGCCATAACGAGTCATTCAAGTTTGTAAAAATCTTCGAAACTCTCCAAAAGAGGCAGCAAAGGCATGTAAAGTTTCAGGGACCATCACCTAACATCAAGCCAGCTTCACCCTCCATCAGAATACATTAACTATAAAACAAACCTACAAAACCAGAAAGTAAGGGGAGTCATAAAAAACAGCAGGCATGCCAAGTTCCTTCGCTCCAGCCTCTCTCCGGTGTTTACCCATCGGAAAGGAAAAAGCAGAAACAGTCGATCCTTTTAAGGAGAACGAAACATCAACATTTATAATCTGAAGCAGGCTGTAAAACTGGGAGCACTGATGCATCTATCTCCCATTCCTGGTCAATGTTAACATTTTACTTCCCCTGCACATTTATACGTAGAAGCAGCCATGTGCAGTTGCCTGTATTTTTTACATCAGGACAAATGGTCTTCCGTAAGTATTTTCAGAGCTGCCAAGGCATCCAGTTCCCACCAGCTTCACCACCATCATCACCGTGAGCCTGATATGCACATACCCATCTGCTGGTCTAAGCAAACCTCTCCAGAAACCTGGTTACCTTTGCCAGCTTGAACCTTCACACTCAGTTTAACTGGGAGAAAAATGGCTTAGTGTCTGCTGTGGGTCCCTTGACACTGTCTTCCTCCACCTTGGAGTGACCACGGATGGAGACGGGAGACCATGGGAGAGGAGCAGAGCCAGCTGGGGCTGCAGAAAGAAAAAGGAGCACCAGCTCAAAGGAGCACCTCACACTCCATCACTGTCACCCCCACCCTTCAGATCCATCCCGATTTTGCTGCACGCTAACGCTACTAATTGCACAGGCAGCTTTGTGGACAAGATCAGGGAACTTAGCGGGCTTACAAGCGATACCTCTTTCTATCGGGTCTTTTTGTCTGTCCGAGTCCAGACCACGGCTCCCATCCTGCTCAGACACGCGTGACAGCGCAGCTGAGACGGGTGGAGACTCTGGCACCAGAGGGGGAAGAAGCATCTGGATAGGAGAGGGAGGAACCCCTTAATCCAAAACTGCTAACAGATCTCCTGTGCTTTTAGACAAACTTGGACAGTAGTGACACCCAGCATCACTTTGGTGAGGGCACGGGAAAACACTTAACATTCTCAGAGACCCATTCTCAGAGACCCATGTTGGAGTCAAACTTTCTGGCATTATGTTGAAAATAATTCCCGTTTATTTTTTCTTCTGGTTTACCACTGCCCTATGGTGGGGGAAGGGAAGAATAATCGCCAAGAAACATAGTCAACTGCTAATGCAGATGGAACCGAAGAAAGCATTTTTCCACCCTACAAGAAATAGAGGAACTCATTTAGACATGGAAGTAGGGCTACCTGCCAGAAATTCATTTTATGAACGCTTGCCATTCTTAAGAAGCCAGCCAGTGTTCAAGAACCACAATTTTTAACCCTACCTCCTACAAATGTATTAAGGCTGATGATAGCTCCATGAATATCATATCCCTTTTCTCACTCCATTTTTATCACCTGCCTCTTTCTTAAAGGGGGCCATAGTCAGAGGTGGTTGCCTTTTCAGTGGTGGGAGCTTAAACGTTTTGACAGACACTAAGACTTCACTAAAATTATTCCCAAAGAAGCATCAAGTGTGCAAGATACCAACCGCAACTCAAGAGCCTTTGCCCAGATGGGGAGGCTGCTGGGAGCCTGCGAGGAGCCAAGCCCATGCAAGGACAGCCCACAGATCCGCTGATGCCAGTTTACAGGGGGATTATTTTGACCTTCTTTGAAGCTTTATTTACTGCACTATTTGTGCTAGTCCTGCAGTCAGTTCAGTTTGGGTTTTGGGGTTTTTTTTTTGCAACTAGATACTGCAAAAACATGGTGGAGGCTTCTCTCGAGAAGCTGTAAACTGTCCTAATCCTGCAGACGTGACTCGGAGGAAAAGTGCCGCAGCGGGCAGACAACCCATCAGGAACACGAGACCAGGAGGAGGCCAGTCGATAACACCGCTCTGCAACCACATGCGCAGAAAACGAGCTTTCTATAAGGAAACCACACCAGCAGCCTGGGGTGAAGCATGCACAGCTCCCCGAGATAGACACGGATGAAAGAAGAGTCACTACAGAGTAAGAGAGGGAAGCATGGGTATAGCAATGTTTTTAGGAGTAGTCACACAAAGGGTATTGAGCAGGCAGCTTCTTTAAGACACCATAAACCATACTGAATTTCAGCCGTATGCTTCTTCAAAATATGTATTTTTCAAAGATTCTTTATGCAATGCTCTTCAGAAGGAAACACAAAGCACTCACTTATTTTCAAAGAGATATTAGAAAAATGTTGGTTATTTTCATGAGCTACTCATCTTTAAATAGATATCAGAAAATATGTGATGGCTGTAATCTATATATATGTAAATATTTTCATTTTTATTTTTTATTATTTTTTTCATATTTTATTTTCATAAATATTTCCATAATGTTCAATAAAGAGCTTCTTGTCCTCCCTACTATCTGCTAAAAAATTCTAGTAAGTCTGACTTTTGGTTTTTCCCCAACAGAGATAACACTCATGGCATACAGAAATTGTAACCTTTGAGAATGAAGAGCTCTTCACTAGAATTACGGCAGCTATAGACAGAAAGTGAAAGCAACAGCATGGCAGGCATTAAATCTGAGTAATACAAGATGTTCTCTTCCCTTCAGTTTCACTCCCTCTGACAGCACCTGGATAACTGAAAAGGCACAAAGGTTATCCCAAAAACATAAGCTACTCTACGCCTATGGGTATTTTTTTAAAAATATGTTTCTATGGAAGTAGAAAAAAAAAAAGGAATATGAAGAAACAATTCTTCTTTTCTCATCACAAAGTACCCAGTTAAAAGATTTGCCAGTATATTTAAATATTATTAAGGGTTATGAAAAGGCAAGGTGGATAAGCTACCTGGAGATGCATTTGCAAAGTAGGTCACAGCCTTTACTCAGACCTGTGAAAAAACATGTTTCCCAGAGGACATGTGCAGAATATTGCATGGTATCCATTTTTCTTTTCTCTACAAATACAGAACTGACAGTATTTTTAATTTGTTTTTTAAAAACAGTTATCTTGTACTTGTGCTTGGCTGATAAGCTTTTAAAGTACTCCCTTTGTTTGCTAGTGCTGTGGCAGTTCAGAAAAG